GGACTGGGGTAACAAAAACCTTGTACAGTTCAACGCGCAGAAAACCCAAGCAGCTCTGTTTTCAAAAAAGACCAGCACCGGTGAGCCAAACATCATGCTATCTGGAAGTGCTGTCACATTACAGAGTCAGTTGAACATCTTGGGGGTTACTGCAGAGACCAACATGTCTTGGCACAGTCCCGTGGCAGATATTGCTAAAAGGGCGTCCCAAAAGCTGGGGGTGCTATTTCGTACAAGACATCTGTACACACCAAGCCAATTGCTGACACTCTACAAAGCTCAGATTCGACCAACTATGGAGTACTGCTCACATATATGGAGTGCAGCACCCAAACATACCTCAATGCTTTTGAACACCGTGCAAAAACGAGCTATCAAGCTGATCAATGACCCCGCACTTACTCGTAACTTGGATGGTCTTGAACATCGCAGATCTGTGGGCGATTTATCTCTCTTCTACAGGTACTATCACGGAAAATGCTCTGAAGAGTTGGCACGTATGATTCCACCGAGAGTAGCGCCTACCAGGCGAACCCGTCAAACAGACGGTAACCATGAATTTACTGTCAAACTAGAGGCACCAAGAACCTCATTATATCAGAATTCATATCTCTGGAGAACAGCATCGCTGTGGAATAAACTCCCTGCGACGGTTTTTCCTGCAGGTTACAACCTGAATCGTTTCAAGACCAACATACACCGACATTTCCGCGCACTTGCCGCTTCTCGAGCGTGATAGGACATTTCCTTGCGAGTGCGCATATCCGTAAAAAAAAAAAAAAAAAAACTACAAATTTGGTGATATATTATGCTCTTATGTATTGACTCGAACCTAGCGTAGTTAAATATCCGTAAAAGTAACACAATATTACACATTGAATACTTTTATTTTTTTTGTACCATGGGCCCAGTTACCCTAGTCTCGGGGGTAACTGGGCGCGCTGTATCTATTTCGCGTAAATGAAGCAGTACAATAAAGTGTTGGGAACTGGGACCTTTACTTGTATGTATGCGCTTTTGTGTAAAATTTTGGAATTTTTATGATAGCTATTTCCGGAGATATTGGACTTGTAAGTAAGATAACTCACAAGTGATTTTCAAAGATCAGCCTCTTTTTCATACAAGCGTATCAAAAATGAGATTATAAAAGAAATACAATTTTACAACTTAAAAGTACTTATGGATTCACTTGGGAAGTTCGAACATACTCCACACCCTGAGGTTTTTTGATAGATAAGCGATAGTCTTTACAAAACTTAAGATACCATGACTCTCCCGGACGATTATTTTTGAATGTAGTTTTAATCGAATCTGTCTGAACATACTGTTCGACAACATCAAAAATTTCATGACGCGATAAACCAAATCCCCATCCTTCCATGCATTTGATTAGTTCTGCCAAATTGTCTTGGTCTTTCTTTGGTAATGCTGGTTTTCCGCCGCCCCCTTTTCCGTTACAAGCAACACTACCTTGACCTCTGGTACCGTTTATATAATGACGGAGTATTGTTCTTGGAACTGAGTATTTCTTAGATGAACCTCGTAGAGAATTTCTTCCTTCTTTGACTTCTAAAACAGCTCTGTTCAAATCTTCGCGGGTATAATTACCGCTGTCGGCACCTTTATTAGTTTTGCGGTGGTATACTCGACCCATCTGGAACAAGTCAAAAATCATTGAAGAAATACTCTATGACATAATTTTTGTTAATGGGTAACTGGGACACTGGGTCCCAGTTTCCCCAAGATGCTAGGCCCAGTTTCCCTATTTACATACTTTGACGAGGTAACGGACCCCCCTAACAAATTTACTAAAAACACTAAATACGCTTCCATACCATAATGAAAGTATAAACCCATCTATATATTATATATTTTCAACAACAAAACATTTCCTACCTTATTTTGCTCCTGCACTATAAAAATAAACAAACGAAAATGTCCGAATCTGTAAACGCTACAGCTACAACATGTGTTTTCACTTCAACGGCCATTACAAATTTGAATTCGAGCAGATGATGGAGGGGGGAACCTGCGCGAGGAGGTGGAGTGACAGACCAACCAATTGCTGCTAATTGAACTTGTTTTAGTACAACTATTTGTACAAAATAAAGGCATGGCCCAAATACCTCGTGGACCCAGCTACCCAACCTTACCTTACACAACTAACATTTTCCAACGAAGTGAAGTACTTAGGGGTCACCCTGGACCGAACCCTCACTTGAAACAAACAGAAAAAACATACTCTCGAGCTAGATCAGCCATCTGGTCATGCCGAAAACTTGTAAGAAAAACATGGGGGCTAAAGCCAAAGATGGTATTCTGGATTTACCAAACAATAATAAAGCCCATGGTCACATATGCCTCATTGGTGTGGTGGCCCAAAAGTCAATAGGTCACCGCTCAGATCAAGCTAAGAAATGTACAAAGACTGATATGTCTAGGAATAACGGGAGCAATGTCAACTTGCCCTACCGCAGCCCTGGAAACGTTACTCAACATGCCCCCACTTCACGTATGTGTGGAAAAGGAGACAAATTGCGAACGCTGGTTATTACCTCAGGCAATAAGCGACACACAACCAGGTAACGCTGATGTGGCTGCCTGGTCATCGAGGCATACTATAGAAGGAAACGAAGAAGCAGATCGCCTCGCAAAGGAAGGGGCCTCAACACCATACCATGGACCAGAGTCCTACTATGGCTAAATGAAAAGCCACATCATGGAAGAACTCAACAAATGGGAGAAAAACCAACTGTTATCATATTGGAGGCACACACCGGGACTCAGACTCGGACAATCTTAAGGTACGGTTTGTTAGGAGAGTACGCGTCGCACAACTGACAACGTAAACGTCGTCATTGGTTCAGGTATGACGTACACCCATCTTTTAACGTGACGCTTTTTTTGACTGACCAAATTTAAAAGCTGTTAACCAACTTCTGTCATATCCGTACCAACCAAAGTCGAACCAGTTATGCGAATCGAAAACGGCCATTGATTATTTAAAACTCTTCCCGCACCAGTCGGTCGGAAAAAAAACTCTTTTCCCGCACTAGTGCGGAAAGAAAGTCTTCCCGCACAAAAAATAGTGTGGGAAGAGCCATTTCCCGCACGTTCGTAGAAAAATTAATTTCTCGATGTTGATGTGAGAATGTCATTATTCCCGCACGCAAAATCATTGAAGAATGAAGCTCATTCTTCAACGATTTTTAGTGACATTTAGTTTTCAAAGTGTACCTATTGGTATCTTCAAAATTGACACACCTTTTAAAATGATAGAAGCCACCTGTCAGTTGGCTAGTTAGTAAGTGTCACCAACTGAGATATTTTGCGTCAAAAAATGATGATGTTCGCACACTCATGACCAATGAACTATAACCAAAAACTGGAATGCGCACACATTGCCATATCTGCCAAAAAAATGAAGCCATGAAAGACAGATGCCACAAGGGGGAATGTTGTTTTTTTCTGTTGCTCGCTGACATATGACGTTTTCGAAAGTTTTGTCATATTTCCCTTCACAGGTTTCATCAATTGGAATACGTGTTGGAAGCAATTTTCGCCATTTAACATAATGAGTGCGACAAAAACAGGTATCCCCTCCGCAGCAGCCGCACTCGGCTTCAAGTTCGTCCTTATGTGTTAGCATTCCAGTTTTTGGTTATAGTTCATTGCTCATGACAGTTGCCAAGTGACACTTTTTTTCCGACTATTTTTTTTAAATATAATTCCCCAAGTCAAAAATTTAGTAACTATGTTGGCAACACAAGCCTTTTCTACATAAAAAATTTGAAAGCATGACAATTTTACATTGTATTGCCAACATAATGTCATTTTGACTTTTATCTTTAAAAAAAAACAGATTTTACTTGCCCTTAGTATATCCGTATATATAATATTTTAACCAACTTCTTGGTTTGATGTCTCAATATATCAGTTCCTGAGAAAGTGCTAACCCTCCAAACATGGCTTTCCAGGAAGCTGATACCTAATTTATCTGTCAACAACAACCCTGTGCAACGTCCAATGTCGCAACCGCTTGTTACCGACTGTCGTTTATCAGTCAATATGACCGATCGGTCAATCGCTCGGAATTGGCTATATACCGTGCGTTCGTTATTTTGGTCCGAGTTCTCCGAGCTTGACTTTACCGTTCGTTTATTTAAAAAGTGTACTCGGTGCAGCCTCATTCGCGTTCGTTTATTGAAATTTCTGGCACTTTTATTCAGCGTTCAACTGCTCTGTTCGCTCACTGATCACGTGATTACGGCTCCGCTCAGCACGCTCTGCTCTTTGAGCAAAATACCGAACGCAAGGATATTTAAAAATTCGCGAAAAAATTCAGAGCCTGAATCGCATGCATTCCATCAAGGTCTGCGGGTGACGTCAGCACTATAAGCTGCAGATAGTGACGTCACTCGCAGACCCAGAATTTGATGGAGTTAGGAATTAAACTTACTTTTCATGCATCCGTTTTTCCGTTGATCCGGGAGTAATCCTATTGGTCCAATATTTTGGCGCCAAAATATTGGACCAATAAGAATTTTGCTGATCAACGGATTGACGGAAAAAGGGATGCATGAAAAGTAAGCTTTATGACACAATTGACATATCTCCATTCGAGATTCCACCAAAGCAGTGCAAGAGAGCAGTGCATGTTTTAGATTAACTGAATGGAGTGTAGATGCCACTCCAGTGCTAGTATTTTGTATAGCGTTTTCCATTTGTCGAACCAGTGCAAAAAAATAAATCATTATCCTTACATGTTACATGCTTTTAGAAAAAGATGCGGATAAAGTCAGTGCGCACTCATTGACAAATGGAAATCGCCATCAGAATGGAGTAAGTCTGTTCATACAGAAATCACCTGAGGAAATCACCATTAAATCACAAACTAGTCAGACTGAATTTCATTGGTTGAAACCACTGATCAACGGTATGTGCTGGTTTGTGATGGCTGTGCGAACAGACCCATATTATGATTAGTTAAGTTAGGTTAGGTATGCCAGTCAAAATCCAAAACATTTCAATTTTAAACAAATTCACAAATTCGTTAAAATATTTTTCTAAAATGTTTAAATGTTTTCACCTGAAAGTTTTGAGTGCAAGAAATACTTCAAGTTCAAGGCGCTGTTTATCAGTCTTTTCACAATTATTGATGCAGTCATCTGAAATCGAGCTAGTGGAAAAAAATTCCAAACAAATTGAAGAAAGCCTAATCAAATCACTGAATTCAACTACAAAAAAATCTTTACTGGAGCCACTATCTGATTCTGAAGATATTTCTCACATTTCAACTTATTTGAAACCAACCTACCCTAACTTTGCTGCCTACGCAAATAATTCTGAAGTTTTACAGGAATTAATTAAGCTAGATGTTAATTTGCATTACATAGAGAAAAAATTAACTGAAGCAGTACCATTTATCTTAAAACTAAACTTTGAAGATATTAAAGATCACATATTGTTTCTAAATCAATTGGGAATGAAGTTTGAAGACATCGGGCAACTTATAACTAAAAATCCTTTTATTTTTAAAGAAAAACTTGAAGATTTGGATGTACGAATCAATTATTTGAAATTTAAAAAGTTTGATGAGATAATGATTCTGAGAATTATAAGCAAGAATCCTTTTTGGCTCAGTTACAGGTTAGTTAAATTCTTAATTATTATTTATAGGCCTGGTTTATTCACCTTCTGATAAATTGTTAGATATACAATCTGGTGGAGAAAAACACAATCTGTGATCCCATTGGTCGGCAAGTTACCCGAGGGGTATTTCACTGGCCACAATATATGTACAAATTTCAGTAAAGTCTGTTTTTTTTTTAAAGATAATTCTCCAAGTCAAAAATTTAGTAACTTTGTTGGCAACAAAAGCCTTTTCTACACAAAAAATTTGAAAGCATTGACAATTTTACATTGTCTTGCCAACATTATGTCATTTTGACTTTTATCTTTAAAAAAAAAACAGATTTTATAGTGTTGCAGCAGTTATTTCTCAATAGCTCACAATGCCTCGCAATAGAATGCAATACCTTGCAACAGTGCACATTACTTTGCAGTAGTCTACAATAATTCGCAATGTTCCACTTCCACGATACTCTTGCAATTGTCTGCAATACTCTCACACTAGTCAGCAATACTCTCACAATAGTCTACAATATGCTCGCAATAGTTGACAATATCATTACAATAATCTAAAATACTATCGCAATAGCTTGTAATATGTTTGCAATAGTTCTCACAATTTTTATACTCTTGTCGATGAAAATCCTTGAGATTATATCTACGATTGTTGTGTTTTGGTCAGAGCTTTTGTAAGTATCAAGAAAAAGTACCTACTTAAGTAAGTATTAAAGTCTGTTTTTTTTTTTAAAGATAATTCCCCAAGTCAAAAATTTAGTAACTATGTTGGCAACACAAGCCTTTTCTACATAAAAATTTGAAAGCATTGACAATTTTACATTGTATTGCCAACATAATGTCACTTTGACTTTTATCTTTAAAAAAAAAACACATTTTAAGTACAAGTTTTTTTTTCAATACAAATCAAGTACCAGTACAACTATAAGTACAGAAGGAAATACTTAAAATATCAAGTAAATTGACTTGAATTGCCCAAATTCAAGTACAAGTTCCAAATTGCACGAAAATCAGATTCTAAACTTGCGTACTTGAAATGACATTTAAGCAGAAATACTTCAAAAAATAATTTAAGTATTTTTTATTTCAAGTATTGTTCGAATTAAACTTACAAATTAAATTATTGCTATCGATAATCTTAATGGCAGACTACAGACACACTAATTTTTTACTTCAAGTAATTTTACTGGTACTTAAGTAATTTTTCAATTTCAATTTATTCAATTTCAATTTCAATTTATTCAATAATAGTTAACAGTTTCATGATTATAAACATAATAATGTACTTAAAACTATTTAATTATATGAGGCAAAAAAAAAACCCCTAGGTGCTGTGGCACCTGTATGGGCTCGATATTATATAATAATACTAATAATAATATGTTACAGGAGTGAATATCTATTGAAATGAGAAACAATTAACAGACAACCAAAAAAATACAATAAACTGATAACCTATCCAAACTTTAACAGTGTGATGTTACAAATTTTCTTTGCCAATTTAGAAAAATGTCTAGCGCTTGAGCACCTAATGCTATGGGGCAACAGGTTATACATTTTTGGACCCAGGTATCTAACTGATTTCTTACCCAACTCACTTCTGCATTTTGGTGTAATCAGATGACTAGATTTATTACTTCTAGTGCCATAACAATGATCTATAGTAATTTTGTTATTATGATGATTATATATATAGCAACATATTGTATGGAAAAATATTGTTCTTACATTTATAAGTGTTTTGTTGTAGTTGAGATGAGTTGGGTATAATATATCCTTTTTATAAATTATTTTTAAAATTCTATTCTGAATAATTTGAAGTGGTCTTAGAGAGGTACTATACATGCTACCCCAAACCAATATTCCATAGCGCAGTACTGATTCGACCAAGCTCTGATACAGGGTTATCAACATACTTCTATCCAAAATTTGTTTTAGTGTGTAAAATTTATACATCAAGTGCTTTAACTTTTTACTTAGGTAAGCAACATGTAAGTCCCACTTTATGTAAGAATCTATTATAATTCCAAGATATTTAGTGCTTTTAACTTCAATTATTTTCTCTAACAAATTTTTAACTTCAATATAATTAAACACAGGTCGATTTTTTTCAGTTTTAGTGAATGCAATATAGTTGGTTTTTTTAACGTTCAGTGACAATTTGTAATAGTCAAGCCATTTTTTTACTGTGAAGATGCCATTTTCAGCATTTTCTCGAGCCTCCTGCCAGGTCAAACCATTGAAAACAATCACAGTATCGTCAGCATATGAAATTACTTTTCCCCTGATTTTTAATTCGGTTATTGATTTTATATATAAATTGAAAAGTATTGGTCCCAAAACAGTTCCTTGCGGAATTCCAATTTTCACTATATTAGGGTCACTTAAAGTTTCCCGTATTTTCACTTGTTGTTGTCGATTAGTCAGATAGCTTTCAAACACCCCCAACACAGTACCTCTCACACCATTTTGTTCAAGAACATGTAGGAGTTTTTTATGAGGCACTGTATCGAAGGCCTTTGCCAGATCCAGAAACACAGCCAAACACTTTTTATCAGTATCCAAATTTTGTCGAATTTCCTCTATTAAGTGATACATAGCATCACTTGAGTTCAGACCCTCTGTGAAACCATACTGATTCGGCGAAAGTAAGCCATTTCCCTTCAAAAAATCATTAAGCCTTTCCCTCAAACACTTCTCAAAAAGCTTGGCAAAGTTTGAGATTACACTAATCGGTCTGTAATTACAGACCTGGTTCGAATTTCCCGATTTCAGTATTGGAGTAATTATAGAGATTTTAAGTTTTAAAACTTAAGTTCAAATTTTCAAAAGATTTCAGGTAAAATATACTTAGCTGATATTTTAAGTATTAAGTACAAGTAAAATTTTGAAAACTTGAAATTGCAAGTACAGGGTTATTGATTTGGTTATAAATGTCACCCCCCTCTATCTTTTTTATTGTGACATTTTAGAGAAAAGTGTCACAAATAAAAGTTTTATGGTTGAAATTAAATTTTTGGAAAAACTCACTTTCGCATATACAGGGTGTTTCAGAAAAGCTGGCCGTGCTCCAACTTTCTTATTTTAGATGGAATACCCTGTATATTATTGAATATTCGAATTCTACATAGAATTCTGAGCAGATCTTATTTGATATACCCTATACCTAAGTTGAACTGTTTTGGAAATATTGACAGTTGAAAATTGACTTTTTTGCAACCTTGACAGGCTGTAAAATCTAAACGGTTAACGTTTGAGCAAAACCGATTTTACATTTTTTTCTTAGATTTTCATAAGCTATCATTTGACACCAATTTTTAATCATGGAATAAATTCAAAGTTGGTGTCAAATATTAGTGTCAACTGATAGTTTATGAAAATCTAAGATGAAAATGTGAGATCGGTTTTACTATAAAATTAAACGTTTAGGTTTTACTTACAGCTTGTCAAAGTTGCAAAAAAGTCAATTTTCAACTGTCAATATTTCCAAAACAGTTAAACTTAGGTATAGGATATATCACATGAAATCTGGTCAGAATTTTATGTAGAATCCGAATGTTCAATAATATACAGGGTATTCCATTTAACATAAGAAAGTTGAAGCATGACCAGCTGTTCTGAAACACTCTGTATATGCAAAAGTGAGTTTTTCAAAAAAATTTAATTTCAACCATAAAACTTTTATTTGGGACACTTTTTTCTAAAATGTCAAATAAGAAAGAAAGAGGGGGGTGACATTTATAACCAATAACCCTGTACAAGTACCAATGTTTGGATTAGTACTTAAGTCAAATACTTAAGTATATTTTTGTACTTTACTTCAAGTATTTAAAATACTCAGTACAACAGTGTATGGTTTTTTTTATATTTGATAAATTATTTGGAATTTATTTTTCCTACGAGCGTGCGCAAAGTAATACTTTTACGCACGCATTTCCGTTCTCAAAGTTACACTTTTCCGCACTCAGTACAGATAAGGCCTGTATCCGCACTGAGTGCCGAAAAGTAGAAATAATTATTGTCAAGCAACCTGTCGACTTTGACACGTGATGAAAAAATTTTACTGAGTTTCCATATCAGCCAACATCTATACAAACACATATATTAACTTTGACACATTGTCAGATTTGTGTTGTCCATTTACATGCAAGAATCTACAAACTTCTTTCGCATCAAATATAAACGCTTTAAGATGAACAGCTCTGACGAGGATTTCAATTTTCTGTTATATTTTTTTTTGTTATGTAATTTTTTGATGAATGAATAGGTTCGTTTCAAGTTAATTGAAAATAATCGAACAAATTAAGTATGTTTTTTTTTTTTTAATTTTTGTTGTTACCTACCTGATATGAGGCTCGTATGATTTTTTTTTTCCTAACACGTGCGAAAAGTGTCTTTTCCGCACGCAACACTTATCCGAACTCCGCTTCGCGTCTTTCGTATAATTGTGTTTGCGCGCGGAAAAGTAACACTTTGCGCACTTGTTAGGAAAATAACTATTTTGCATTGGGACTACATCAGCGTCTATCACTTGTTGGGTATAAATTTGAATACGGATTCCAATTTTTGTTGCACTTTATCTCATCATAACTTTAACTTACGAGTGTAGGAAAATAGAACAACTGTAAAATATAAGGGCGGGATTGTCTTTTTCTCTCTTTCGCTCCTTCCTACGCTACGGACTTTCTTTTTGGTCTCGTGTTTGAGTCGCTGTTCTTCAGATGTTAGGAATCAAGGGGCAAACCACCTAGGCATTATTTGCCAAAAATGTGGGGAATTTAGAGCAATTTGAAGGAACTCATCGAAATTTATGAGAATTTGGGGAATTTATAGGAAATTTAAAGAAATTTATGGGGAATTTGAATGAATTTATGAGGAATTTAAAAGAAATTGTAAGGTCAGTGAGGTTCACATTCTTATTATAGGAAACACTAATAAATGGAAATTGAAAAAAAAAAAAAATCTAGTTTTGTCTTGGACGTTGGACATTAATTTTCATTAAAAAAATTCTCCCAAAATTTCACTTCATGATTTATAGGTCCAAATTTAAAAGAATAATGAGTACAGTTTTTGTAGGCTGATTTCCAAGATTTTTCATGTTGTTACTTTCCACTGGAAAAATTTGAAATTTTGGGAAAATAAGCTTCTCATCTTTCTCTTCACTAGTTTTCCAGAAAAACTTTGAAATGTGTGAAACAGTATTTTCAATTAATTCAGATATTGAAGGTTGATTTCCAAGATTCTTCATGTTGTTATCTATTTTCCATTGGAAAAATTTGAAATTATGGGAAAATGAGTCTCTAACCTTCCTTTTCACATGCAAGAAGTTACAAATTTTTCCGTTCACTAGTTTTCCAGGAAAACTTTGAAATTTGTGAGACTATATTTCTAACTTATTCAGTTATTGGAGATTGATTTCCAAGATTCTTCATGTTGTTATTTTTCATACTGGAAAAATTTAAATTTTGGGGAAAATGAGCCTTTAATCTTTCTCTTCACATGCAAAAAGTTTCAAATTTTTGCCTCCACTAGTTTTCCAGGAAAACTTTGAAATGTGTGACAATGTATTTTCCAAAGTATTTTCAATTAATTCAGTTATTGTAAATGAATTTCCAAGATTCTTTATGTTATTATTTTCCACTAGAAAAAAATGAAATTTTGAGAAAATGAATCTCTAACCTTCCTCTTTACATGCAAAAGGTTTCAAAATTTTCCCTGGATTAGTTTTCCAGAAAAACTTTGAAATGTGCTGACTGTATTTTCCATTAGTTCAGTTTTTGTAAGTTGATTTCCATGATTTTTTATATTGTTATTTTCCACTGGAAAAATTCGAAATTTTAGGAAAATAAGCCTCTGAAATTCTATTTTACATGTAAAAAGTTTCAAAATTTTCCCTTTATTAGTTTTCCAGGAAAACTTTGAATTGTGTCATACTGTATTAACAATTATTTCAGCTTTTGTAAAATCATTTTCATAATTTTTCATGTTGTTATTTTCCAATGGAAAAATTTGAAATTATGGGAAAATGAGACTCTAATCTTCCTCTTCACATGCAAAAAGTTTCAAATTTTTCCGTTCACTAGTTTTCCAGGAAAACTTTGAATTCTGTAAGACTGTATTAACAATTATGTCAGTTTTTGTAAGTTGATTTACATAATTTTTCATGTTCGTATTTTCCACTGGAAAAATTTGAAATTTTGGGAAAATGAGACTGTAATCTTCCTCTTCACATGCAAAAAGTTTCACATTTTTGCCTTCACTAGTATTCCAGGAAAACTTTGAAATGTGTGAGATTGTATTTTCAATTAATTCAGTTTCTGTAGGTTGATTTCCAAAATTCTTCATGTTGCTAATTTTCACTGAAACAAATTGAAATTTTGGAAAAATGAGCCTCTAGCTTTCCTTTTTATATGCAATAAGTTTCAAAATTTTCCCTGAATTAGTTTTCCAGGAAAATTTTGAAATGTGTGAGATTGTATTTTCAATTAATTCAGTTTTTGTAAGTTAATTTCCAAGATTCTTTATATTGTTATTTCCTGTTAGAAAAATTTGAAATTTTGGGAAAATGAGCTTCTACTTCTTCTTCACATGCAAAAAGTTTCAAATTTCTCCCTTTACTAGTTTTCCAGAAAAATTGTGACATGATGTGTGAGACTGTGTTTTCAATTAATTCAGTTTTTGTATGTTGGATTCCAAGATTTTTCATGTTGTTATTTTCCACTGAAATAATTTGAAATTTTGGGAAAATGAGCTTCTTACCAAAGTCTATTTCTTACCTTCCTCTTTCCATGCAAAAAGTTTCAATTTTTCCCTCAATAAGTTTTCCAGGAAAATTTTGAATTGTGTGCGACTATATTTTCCAAGAGGCAAATCACCTAGGAAGTTTTTGCCAAAAATGTGGGGAATTTAGGTATAAGGAATTTGGAGAAATTTATGGAGAATTTGGAAGAATTTGTAGGGAATTTAGAAGAATTTATGGGGTACTTGGAGGAGTTTGTGATGGTGTATCTGGAGGAATTTCTGGGGAATTTGGAGGAATTTGCAAAAATTTTGCGTAAAAAAATCCCTCGAAAATTCCCCTTTGGGTAATTGTTTGTACAAATTCTGGAGGAGTGTTTTGCCCCTTGTTAATAGACAATATCTGAGAGTATACAGTTAACTGTTTTGATGGACATACTATCCCATAAACAATAATTAACTCTGAACTTGACGCCAATTTCAATAAAGGTGAAGGTGAACTCAATTCGACTGACTCATCTGAGGCTATTCAGGGGGAAACTGATAATGATGTTGTGATGGCAAACAAATAACCAGAGGAGCTCAACTCTCTTAAAAATTATATGAACAGGGTAGCCTTTAATATTAAAGATTAAGATTAGGTACTATGCTTAGGTAACAGACATCAACAATGGAAGGTTTTTAAAAATACATTTAAAAAAGAGAAAGTCAAATACAGTAAGAAAGTTAACATCGCAATAGTACTGCATACAGACAACAAGAAAAGCAAAGTGAAGTTTGTAAAATTAAATGTATGCCAGTTTAGATGGTCCGAAAAAATGAAATTGATGATCTAATCCATTTGATTTAGATCATAAAGATTTAAATATGTAGTATGAAAGAAAAATATAATAGTTTGAAGAAATAGTGAATACTTAAGGGGAATACCTATGTACTGCAATAACTTGCAATAGTTCACATTAATCACAATGGTTTGCAATATTTAGAATCAATGGGTAATAGGTTGCAATAGTCCACAATACTCTGCAATACTTGAGTATTGCACAATATTTGTACAAAAAAACTTCAGTGAAATACCTCTCGAAGTTACCTATATCTTACAGATAATAACCAGCAAGTTTATCTGAAGATGAATAAACTGAACCCTAATTTAACATTTAACATGTTTTCAAATGGTTTTGTAGCACTCAAGATATAGACAAAAAACTAGGATTTTTTCAAATGAACTTCAAGCTAGCAGGCCATGAAGTGCGCTTGGTGGCAACCAAAAAACCTCAACTAATAACACATGAACAGGAAAAAGTTAAATTAAACATGTTTGTAATTAGAGATGAAATGGGCTTTACTATAGAAGATATGAAGGAAATGATTTTAAAAACACCAAAATTATTTATGAGTGGTAAACAGAATTATTTAAATTTTTCAATATGTATATTAATTGCGAATATTTTTCAGGACAACAGAGAATGCTCAAGTGCTTTGAATATCTCCACAATGAAATGGGAATTTCCCATCTTCAAATATTAGAAGAGCCCCAAATATTGACTTGTAGAGAAAACCGATTGAAAGCGAGACATCAGTTTTTGAAAAAATTAGGCAGAGATCAGTTTGATAATAAAAAGCCTAATTTTGTTAATTTGTTAGAAATGGTGAAAAATACTGATGGGATATTTGCAGTTCAAGTGGCTAAAAGTAGTGCTGAAGAATTTAATTTGTTTTTAAAGTCAATGTAGAATTTGTAGGTAACTGAAAATAGAATATTGAATTAACCTGTAACTACAAAATTTTATAAATTATCTGAACAAGAGGTGTTCCACTCATGAGGGCCAAATTTATAGTCGCTCCTTGAGGTTTCCTCAGGTCTTGATTCTTGCACAAAGCCTTGAATATTTGGGATTGATATGACAATGAATTTTTGCGACAAATGTAGTTCATCCAAGGACGAACTATAGTTCATCTGTGACGTCATGAGTTTGAACGCTGGCTAGAAACTGCTTCCGTCAAACTACGTTCAAAATGACGTCATAAGTTTCTCGCCAAAGCGTTTCTGTTCATGAAATCATGGAAGTAGTTCGTCGCAAAAATTCGGTTAAGTATTCATTCTAAACTCAGGAACTTATGACTTTCATGAAAGTCTTGTCAAGGAACGACTATAAATTCGGCCTTAAATGTATGTACTATTGTAAAAAGAAAATTATTGTATATCAATATGTACTGTGACTTGTGAGGTACTTAGTGTGATGTTTTTATTAACATGTGATAAATAAAATTCCGTTTTGTGAAAATGATTTGTTTATAGGACCATTATATATTTTATGTCCGATTGACCAATAAAGTGCTATTTATAGAACAGTTTTGCGTCAATAAAGTAGCACTTTATTGAACTAGTAAAGGTACGTTTTTGCTGGAGCCGTCAAACGCCGCCGTTGACGGTGCCCACTGCTATTCATTTGATTCAATGAAAATACGACGGTCGCGGTGAGACGCGCTAAAGAAACCATACTCATTGAATCAAATGAATAGCAGTGGGCACCGTCGACGGCTCCAGCGAAAAAGTACCTTAACGCGTTTCGTGACAGGTAAAAGTACTCAGTAATCCTGAAACCTCTTGTGGTATTACATTCGACAATAAATTCGGTATTCAGTTGACAATATTGCTACCTAGACAATACTAACACAACATGGTATTTCAACGACCATTCTTTGACCAGGCGAGTGATTTTGTCAAAAATGTCATTCGCGAAATTGCCAAGCAACAAACTTTCCTACCTTTCGAAAATTTTGCTGACAAATTTTTTTCTCTTGTGATATTATTATATACAGGGTGTCCCACGGTGGATGGTGTATTAGACGTTTCTGGAGAACTAAAAAGCGGATCAGCGCCGGTTCAAGGCTCTACCGGGCCCTAGGCGGCAGAAGGTATGGGGCCTTAGCTCAAATTAACTTTTTACTGTTTTTGTCCAAATTGAAAAAAAAAAAAGCCTTTCAAAATGCTGCTGGAAAGTGTTTTGGAACGTTCTAAATGGCTTTTTGTAGTTCTAAAGTATTCTAACTTGGCTTGAAGAGTTCTGGAGCATTCTAGAAGTTTTTCAGTAATTTCTAAATTGTTCTGACAGATTTTTAGGTATTTTTGAGCCCTATTGAAGCTCCAAAAATTCTAAATTGGTTCAAAAAAGTTCTAAAAGGTTTCCAGTTCTAAATTAGGATTAAATTTAGAACTTTGAAATTGTTCTAAAATAACTCTGAAGTTTCTTAATTGTTCCAGAATGCTCCTGAAAATTCTGATTTAGATTTGAACTGTTTTAGATGCCTTTAAAGAGTTCTAAAGTTCTACAGCAATCAAAATTTGCTCTAAAAATCCTTCTGAAAGGCGTTTTGTAATTTTTAATCTGAATCCTAAGATTCTGGCGCTTTTCAAAATGTTTCTGGGGATTCCAGAGTGTCTGAGTTTGAGTGTTTTGGAGCGTCCTAAAATGGGTTTCAACCTTCTGAGTTGTTCTAAAATGCTTTTGGAAATCGGTGTTTGCATGTTTTGGGGCATTCTAAAATGGTTCTGAAATTTCCAAAACTTTCTGAAGCGCTACAGAATGCTTTTGGAAATTCTGAATTTAAATGTTTTGAACTTGCCAAAAGGTCTATTAAAGTTCTAAAGTGTTCTGCAGCAGTTTAAATGGTTTCCAGTAACTTCTAATAAGAGAAACGAATTCTGTGGGAAATTTTTCTCAAAGACGTCCCTAAGATGTCCATAAACGACATTCAAGACGTCTTGCCTACGTCTCAAAGACATCTTGAAGACGTTGTAATGTAACAAAACCCGTGGGAACACCGTCTTCCAGAAATCTGTCTAGAGATGTCTTCAGCACTAAGATATTCTAAAGACTACTTCAAATCTTTAAAGAGATGTCTCAAAGACGTTTTTGAATCTCTTTTCAATACATAAATTATTATTCACTTTTAGGCTTGAAGAAGAGAAAGATATGAATTTACGACATGTTATATGGACATCTTCAAAACAGCGTCTTCTAGGCAGCTTTTTTTGATCTTCAGACGTTCAGACGTCGTAATACAGACCCTAGAAAAGACGTCTTCAAGACTTTGTGTGCTGTCTGGGTAGTGGAACGTGGAACATCTCGTTTCTATTATCTATTACTCGTTTAACGAATATTCATCAGCTACATGACATAAGGTTGGTTGGACTCTACCTGAGTTGGGAATCCCACAGCTACAGAACAGTGTTGCCGATAGTGTGCGTAATTCGGGTGGTATGGTGCGTCTCAGGGCGCAAGGTTGCCAAAATAAGATATTTGAGCACGACGGCGCAGCAGCCGAAATAGAGCAAGTGTTTTAAAGACCAGTTATCCACGAATACTTTACACTATTTTTTTTTATTGGTATATTTATTTGAAAAATTAGGATTGTTGATTATTTAAATAAAGCTTAACACTTGTTATATTTTATTTGACGTTATCTACAAGTACTCCTGACAAATCAATAATTAAAAAGTTGACACTTGGACTTTACCTTGCATGGGTTGTTGATGTTGTCATGTGCCATGATAACTTTAAAACACGTGCGTTTTTGAATGTTGGATTTAAACACCCCGAGGAGTAGGTACGTTAAATAAGTAAAATAGGTTATCAATAAAAAAAAAATATTTTTGACCATGCGTTGTTCCCGCTTCTACTCTAAACTAGAGGCAATATCGCTACCTATTTTAAATGGAACACCCTGTCTTATGTTCGAGCTTGAATTTCAACTGGTAAAGGACCACCCTGTGCTCAGGGAAAACAGTGGACTGCAGACGAGCTTCTTAAAATGTTATATTTAAAAAAAATAATATAAAAAATGCGTGGCAGCGAGCAAATTGACAAACGTATGACAAACTTTTTCTATTTTTTCAAAAAAGTGACGTCTACTTGTTTCTTATTTGCTTGGTTACTTCTGTTTTGTTTTTTCTTCTCCAGCTCTTGATTTTCTATTTCATTAAATACCTACCCACATAACAGTGAAAGAACATTCATATTCTCAGAATATTCCCTCAAAGTGCTTTTTGGAATATTCTTTTAGGAATGTCCAATGAATATTCTAAGATTGTTTCGATTGAAATATTCGTTTTTGAACGTTCTATTTATGTACTAGGAATGTTGCTTCTATGCACCTACCTGAAAGAGTGTGCTAAGAACCTACTTTATATAACATTATTTGAATATTCTCATACGAACATTATTATAATGTACCCTAAAAAATGTTCCTTCGGCTTATATCTCTATCAAGTATTAAGAATATACCTACCAAGTTGCACTGAGAAGTTTATGTAGGTAGGTACCCATGATAAGAATATTTCCATATTGTTCACCTAATTATCTAAAGTACCTACTCAAAAACTTAATTGAACAATTAAACAATAATGCTCTATCTAGAACCTACTAAGAATATTATAGGTATATTCTTTTTCATTCGCTTTGTAGGACTTCCAAGAGAGGGAGCCACGCGCTATTAAAGATCTACATCTTGCCTCGCGTTTGAATCACCTTGAAACTTGTTTCTCTCAGTTGGCGTGCTTCGAGAGAGCATAACAATCTCGAAACCGGAGCTTTGGTTAAACACTTGTGTTTTCCAGAGGAATTTTCCAACAATTCTTTCACTGCCTTTAATATAAAAGGACTGGAAGGAGCATTATTTGGAAAAGAAAATTCACATTCCAAGTATATCCTTAGAATCAAACAATAATGTTATATCTAGAATGCATATTGAGAATGATATATGTAGATATATTCTAAGAATATTTCAAGTATATTGGGTATAATATTCTTTTGACAACATAACTATAGTGTCATAGAAACATTCTTTGAATATGAGAATATACATTTCGAGCATATTTTTAGAATCAAACAGGAATATTCTTTTCAGGATGTACTGAGAATCTCATAGGTATATTCTAGGAATATTTTAATGGATTTCCCAGGAATTTCTTGGGTAAGTATTGCAAACAGTATTTCTACAATCTTTTCTCAGAACATTCTCAGGACATTCGCAATGGTTTTGGCGAACATTCTAGGCACATTCCTCCTAAAAAAAGAACATTCTTAGTACATTCTAACGATACAATTTTGTTATGTGGGTACTAACCGAAACACCCTGTATGTAATTGCATATTTGGAATCTACGTAAAATTCTGAGCAGATTTCATGTGATATACCTATACCCTATATATAAGTTCAACTGTTTTGGAAATATTGACAGTTGAAAATTGATTTTTACAACTTTGACAGGCTGTAAAACCTGAACGGTTAATTTTATAGGAAAACCGATTTTACATTCCTGTCTTAGATTTTTATAAACTTTCATTTGACTTCAACTTGTACCGGAGCGAGTAGCTCGAGTGTTTCAAGCTCTTGAAATAGACCCTGAGATAGGGCCTATTTAGTGGAGTCATTTTTTTTTGTCTGGCATTTTGAGGGATGAATGTGGCTTATTAGCTGATGAGAATGTAAGTGGTTTTAATGCCTGCCCCCTGATCGAAATGTCCACAGAATGTTTCGCTGGATAACTCAATTTCGAACTATGATTTCCGTCTGGCGATTTTTCAGCGTTATTTTCACAACAAAATTTTTCATTCTCTCGATTGCCAGACAAAAAAATAACGCGGAAGGTTCTTTTGAGATCATTAAAAAAAAATTCTTCATGTAAATCAATTTTTTTCTTCTGCAAATTTTCGAACGGGCCGCCGGCATTAAAATCACCCATATTCTCATCAGCTTAGTAGCCAAATTCAGCCCTCAAAATGCCAGACAAAAAAAAATGAGTCCACTAAACAGCCCCTATCTCAGTCTAAAAGGAATACAATTATTATCCAATATTTGAGGACCGAGGTTTGATTTTTTTACGATTTTTTACACACGCGATATAACGTATAGAAATTCAAAAAAGAATGGAAGAACTACCTAGTTTTGGCAGTCGTTATTGGAGAACTGGATGATGATATGATGGGTGATGGCTAGGGTTGCCAGATTTACGAGAGGAAAAAGTGTGGCAACGACAGGTGAGGGGGGGAAATTATTTTATTTTTTTATTAGTTCTATCCCACGCACAAGGAATTTGGTTACCTCCAGAACAGGGTCGGATTAAGGTCAATAATTATACCAGCCACTCAATAATAATATTATAGGGTAGTGTTGTGCTTGATATAATTGATAGATAATAGATGGCGAAATCGAAATTGTAAATTATACGCATGCGATTTCTTTCTCGTGTGAGGTGGTGTTTTGGGGCCCCCCTCATTTCGGGGCCCGGGGCTTTAGCCCCCAAAG